CCACTTCGCTGTTGGCTTGTTGGCAAAAGATGTTAATTCAATGTTGAATTGCCATCATGTGCAATCTGGGCAGGCGCAGAGCTATGGGGGGGGGGCTTAAATATCTGATTATAGACTGAGAAAGTCTACCGCCTGTTGAGAAAGGTCTATTTAGTTACTTTCCCTCAATGGAATATATACTAGTCAGTCCCAGTGACCGTTTCACTCACGGTTTAGCCGATGTGTTTCCTGGGTAAAGATCAACCAAAAAACGCAGACCAACCTCCCCGCCCCTCGCTCAACAGTTTCTGGTAGCGCAGGCGATAAACGTCAGGGGCCTGGTGATTCGTTAGGGGTCTGGTAATTAGCCCGCCCCCCGGCCCAACGCTGACTTGTTCCGCTAGTGAATCTGGGTTCAGAACGGAATCACAACTCAGTGTTGTCAACACATAGTGCTTAAGTTAAACCGCGATTAACCCTCACCTAAAAGGGGTTGTGCTGTGGTGGCGCAGGGGTTAAGCACAAACAACAATAAAGGACTCAGTCCTCAACACAGCTGTCACAGGTTCAATTCCTGACCTTGGCGACCCTTGCTGCATTACCTCCCCTCCCTCATTACCCACTTTCCTGTCAATTAACTATCAAATAAAGGCCACTAGCCAAAATAAAATGTGAAAAATGAAAAACCCTCACTTAAAGTTGTTTCACCCGATTGAGGGGTAGATGGGCCCAGGTGGGGGGAAAGAGGTGTGTGTGTCTTTGGCGGGTGGAGGGAAGGGGGTTGGGCGTTTGAATGGCAGGCAGTGGTGAGGGGTGCAAGAAACATCTGAACACTTTGATTACTAGTTTTTCCCCAAACATTATCCTCAAGGCAAACTGACCTGCATGCTTTCAGTTCAGCAAAACCTTTCAATCAAATGTTAATTAAAATCATGTGTGCTGAATTAGGGAAATGCCTAAAACTTGCAGGGCAGTGTGCCTGGTGCCGGTGCTGAAAAACACTGGATTCGATGTGGCATTTCAATCAATGAATGTTAATTGGCTAGAATTGAATGGTTGTTTGATGGTTGATCCAGCTTCTGTCGTTGACCTGAACCATACATGCAGCCTTTGTGGTCATAATTCAACATTAAATTAACATCGTGTGCTATCTGAGTAGTTCTCCCCCAAACCTTGACGTCAATCAAACTGACCTGCGTTTTTTCAGTTCAGCAAAACCCCGTTAATCGGACATCAATCAATATCATGTGTGTTGAATTAGGGAAATGCCTAAAACTTGTACGGGCTGGAAGACCAGTGGTGAAACACACTGGATTCGACGTTGGCATTTCATTTATTTGATGTCAACCACAAAACAACATTGATTCAATGACACAGTTTCAACATTAGTTAATTGGCTAGAATTGAATGGTTGTTTTATAGTTGATCCACCATCAGTTGTCGACCTCAACCAAGCATGCAACCTTTGTGATGATAATTCAACATTGAATTAACATATTTTCCAACAAGCCAACAGCGAAGCAGCTGTGTGTTTGGGACATCCCACTCATGTAAACGTAGGGGTGGACCGCTCCACTCCTTGTAGTAAGTTGTAGATGTTTTTGTGTCAATATATCACACACACACAGTCAGTGAGAATTGTTATGAACAAGTAAGAAAATGTACAGAAAGGAACCCCCACCGACTATCCTCTGCAGTGGTTAATTTAAATGTGATAACCCCCGCTCAGTAATAAAATGCTCTGACCCAGAGCTCTGATGAGGAGGAGAGGAGGGGAAGGTGTGCGGTAAAACAGTATACATTGATTCAACATTGATCAAAGGTTGATCAGACATCGGCATGTCATTCATTAGATTTCAACCACAAAACAACATTGATTCAATGACAGTTTCAACGGTTTGATTGGATGGTTGTTTGATGGTTGATCCACCATCATTTGTCGACTTCAACCAAATATCAACGATTCTAACTATAATTCAACGTTGATTTAACATCGTGTGCTATATGGGTGGTCATCTACCTTTTTCTACTGCTCTTGTGGGTCGCTCTGAGATTTTGTTTATACAGAAGTCTGATTGTGTTTGCTTCATTCAGCGTATGAAGGATGATGGGGGGAAAAAAGGCAAAACAAATTTCAGCTAGAAATGGGAATTGCCTGCACTGTGAATGTAGCATTAGCTTTAGCATGAGATGATTAACATTACTTTACATACGGTACTCATTGAAAAAAGAGCATGTCCACCAATACAACATCATTTTTGATGACCTGTTGTCCCTTTTGGCCTTTTACAGGACCCATTTACAGAAATTCAGAGTTGCTCATTAATGTTTTTTTTTTTTTTTGAGACAGTCCACTCATGCAAACTCTAAACAGTGAGGCAGAATTTGAAATTAAACCCTCCACCTGCTCTATCTGTGAGACAGGGAAGCCAGTCACAGACACACCATAACCAAAAAAAATGCTGTAAGCTGGAATGTTTATTGCAGGTGTTAAACATAAGCAAGCCACTCAAGACATGACTGGGGTCCCAGAAAAGTGATGCAGAGTTTTGTTTAAAATAAATGCAATAAGAACATAATAATCTTGTTTAAGAAGCAATATATCCAACAAACCAATATGCTGACAAAAATACAAAAGTCAATTTTAGTTGTTTCTTCTCCTCTTTGTGTTGCTGTGTGCAGCCTGAGGAGCTGACTCTGCTGCTCATCAAGCTCCGCCGGCAGCAGGCAGAAATCAACAGCCTGCGGGAACATACAGTAGCTCAGCTAATGGCCCTGGGAATAGAAGGGCCCAACCCCAAGGTCAGCCCCGAGTGTGCATGCACACATTGGCTCTTTGTGATTCTCTGTCTTTGAGAAATCCATGAATTTGGGTGTGTGCTGGTCATTTCTCCCTTTTGATGTAGCAAGCATTTTGCAGTTTCAGTTGTTTTATGTCTGACTGCCATTGAATGTTTTCTAACCATGTGTTAGTTCATGCTTGTCTTGGTAACATTTGATTTAAAACATAAATATTTAAATTGAATTTGGTGTGCGCTTAAAGTTATTTACCAAAAAGAGAATAAAATATGCATTTTTACAAACAACATGACTACATAATTGATAATCCCTCGTCTTTTTAACATTGGTCCAACATTCTATCATTAGCATTTTTTCTGACCTCAGATTGAATATCTAGCTAATCATCCACTTCACAGAAACCATAAAATGCTACTGTTCATTTAAACACAAGTTTAGCTTTGTGTTTAAATGAACAGGCTTTCAACCATTATTAGGGTTTATATTGTCATAGCGACCTGCTATGACAATATAGCAGGTTGGAAATCATTCAGTTTTGGAAATGAATGATTTCCAAAACTTAGAAATCATTCATTCCACTACCAGGTCTAAACAGCTGTTTTATCCCACAGTAGGATAAAACAGTAGGGCTCTGTGATATTACGTTGCTGTAATAACTATTGTGTGATTTAAGATATTTCTAAAATATGTAAACTTTATGCCAAAATTAAGGACAGAGAAATACACTGGATTCTCAGCCAGCTTGAAGGTATTTATTCATGTGCCTCTGTTAACACACCAAATTCAATTTTTTGTCCACCAGTAAATCTGGGTACTGATGAATAAGTTTGTGATTTTAGGTGGTTGCAGCTGCTTTCTTGGGTTTGTGTTCTGCATGTGTGTCAGTGGAGTGTTGGCAGAGGTGCTGCTCCTCTGCATGCATGCTATTTAAGGATTTCTGTGCGGTGATGCATCTGTTTTCAGCTTTCTGTGCTGTGGTGGTTGTTTCTTTCCAGTCAGTCACTGTTTTGTGTTTCAGTCTCATATGGAAGCTTGTCCAGTAAAAACTTCTTTTAACTGATGCATGCCTGAGAACTTTGTTAAAAACTTATTTGGAGAATTTTGTATCAGTAGAAATGGTAAGACCCTTTAAAGCAGTTACTAAACTAGTAAAAACTCAACTGTATACATGGCATGCAGTTTATCAAAACCTTTCATGACCTTTGAAATATTGTCATTATGAAATGATAATATACCCTGGATTCATGAAGTACCATGGGGTCTGTCGCAATAAGCAATAAATTAAAATGAGCTTGATAATAAAATAAGGCCAATAGTTTCCAGGTGCATGCCTGCTTGTTTCCATCATGTCTCTCCAGTGCATCGAGTTTCTCTTCCCCTCTTGATTCCATCGAGAAATGTTCCCGACACACAGGGAGCAACAACAGCAAAAAAGCATCAGTATTCCACCACTCATGGTGAACCCGATACATGTGCACATGACAACACGATAGTAACGACAGCAGCAAATTTTCAACTTTCTTGTGTCGCCTCACTAGCTCACTGCACATCTACGTGTACGAGCTCAAAAATCACAAATTTCACCTCACTGCACAAGTTCAATACAAATGGAGAGAGAGGAGAGGAGAGGGAGCGGCGCTGCGTCCTGAAGGAAGAATGAACACTCGCACCAGTTACCTGCCAGGCCTCCTAACACTGAGTGTAGCATGAAAACTCTGAGTAGGAATTAGCAATTCAATCCCAATGGACTGACAGTTCACACTCACTGGGGTGTTTAATTGACAAGTTGTAAAAAGGCCAGTGCAAAATTGTGTACAATAAAACAGTTTGCTCAATTGCAAAAGAGATTGACTTTAGTGTAATTGAAAAGCATGAAAAGCAAGCATTTCAAAAAATGCTGCAAACTTTTGACACCTAGTTCTACATCTGTACCCCCCCCCCACACACACACACACACACACAATTGGCAATATTGGCTGTTTTCCCTGTCTGGGACCAGTTATGAATATGTTTTGTAGGGTAAGTTTGTTTACAGAGAATTAACAATGCATTTTATTCATTTATGGTTTACTATTTTGGAATCAGAACTCTGGAAACCAAAAATGTTGTAGCAACCTCGCACAGTGGCACCAAAATTGTTGGGAATCAGAACTTGCGTTCATGTTTTGATTACATAATTATTAATAACTAATAATTTATCATTCAAATTATTAATAAAGTTACAATTCTTTAGGTGATTCGGGAAACCATCCAGAATTTCTATGGTCATAAGCTAAACTCAGTCTCTGGAGATGGAATGAATTCAGACCAACTGCAGAACAAACTCTTCACACAACAATAAATGGTCACTGATCATGACTGAGAATTTATAGCCCAACTTTACAGCTGAATTATTCTGTGAATAACTTCTTACTTTAACTACTGGTATGCACTCAAACTACTGATATGGCAAAATTGAATAATAAAATGAGAATCAAATCAGATTAAGATATATGGCATGAATTAGGAAATCAAGAAAAGAAGAGAAGAGAAGTGGGAACAAGAGATCGCCTGAGAGAGATCCAATGAATTGTAGCAGACCTGAATCAAAATGATCTGGAAGCAAACAATATCTAACATGTGGACAACTTACCAACAACATGATAGGAGAATACTAAATCACATGTTCAGCAAAATTCTTAGCAAGTAAATAACAGAAAGGCAATTTACAAATAACCTTAGTTTAAAACACTTAATTCAGTTCAGAAAATGGAACAGTCTCACTCTGAGCCAATCGTCAGTTTGAATAAAGCAATGTCCAAAGATCAAAAAATTGATGGAACAGAAAAACTCTCTTCAGGCAGCAGACATAAACTGCTGGAGTTTCTTAGCAGAACCTCTGGTACTTTGGGTTGACTAAACCCAGGAAAGTACCTTTCTCGTAGAGGAATGGAGAGGTTGCCACAGCTGGCCTATGCAGGCAGATGCATCAAGAGATTTTGACGTCTCTATGGGAACACAGAAGCGTGAGGTACGCAGACCACTGCCTAGAAGTTCTCCAGTGAACACTTTGAAGGTTTGGAAATAAATTGTCTTCCTGGGCAGCAGGAAAAAGGTTCAGAGCTCTTGTCTCTTGGAGGTTGACTCCAACAAGACTTTGGGATTGAGGTCTTGCTTCTGTAGTGGGATCAGTTCTTATCTGAACAGCAATGAGTTTTATTGCAGAGAGGAGTTTTAACAGTGACGTCTCCAGCACAAGGGATGTGTGGACATACAAGTTCGGAAAGTCCCTGAACAAAAATGGAATACAACATTATCATATCTCATTATGTATTTTAGATATTTAATACATCTTCCAGTTCCAGTGCTAAAGGTTCCTTAGAAATTAGTTTATTGATCTTTATATTATTATGATGTTTTCATGCTATTTCTTAACAATGGTCTCAAAACAATAACATTATTGCTAATCACATTTTTTGGAACAATTAATCGTCCAGCAAAAATTTTGCATTGTGACAAGCTTACGTTGATATTAATACACACAACTTCTTTTTTGATTTCCATATGTTTAACATCATTGGAAATCTTAGAATCCACACTTTCAGAATCTGGTGGTCCCTGAGTGTTTGTGAAAAGGGTTATGTTTTCCTCAGCCTGAAAAGTTAGAGAAACACTATGTGCATAATCAAGAATCAAGTCTTGTGGCTTTGTGAAGCAGAGGAAGGAGCGAAGACTCAAAAGTTGGGCCAAATGACAGCTCTGGCATGGTGGGTTTGAACTTTTTGCAGAATAAAGAGGTCAGCTGCTATAGTTGAGTAGATAGGCAATGCCAGCAGCATACCCCGGAGTGAGTCCTTAGGATTCTATTAAGAAAATGTTCTATAGAAGTACGGTGTGAACACATTCCACAAACTAAGACCCATAAACAATATGTCACAACAGTATAATATGAGACTGAAAATCTGTGGGAAAAAAATCAAACTTTTCTGCCTTCTCCCAATGCTAACTAGAAACAACCAATCAGAGACAAGAACAGAGCTGTCATTCGTATCCATCTACACGCCTCTCAGATGTGCAGTTCCACCAGGTGTTTGCTAATTGCTCCTGGCTAGTCTGAAGGAGCTGAATGAGGGCGAGGAAACTGCAGCTGTGAGGAGGAACTGTGCCTTGAAGGCAGCACTAGGTTCACTGAGGTGTTTGGCACAGCTGAATGGTTGCTGCAGGAGATTAAAGGATTTCTCAAACCTGCATGAAATCAACCAATAAATCAATCAAGTTTCTTTGTATAGCACATTTCAGCAAAAAGGCAGTTCAACAGCTTCACAACATAGAGACAGAAACATACAGTCATAAAAAACACCATAATTGAGAAACTATTTACAAACATTATGTTTTGATGAGTGCCATCACTATTGATAAACATCAAATAAGCTGGTCAATGTTTCATTTATTATGGTTCAAAAGCAACTTTACACACGTTTTCAGCCTTGTTTTAAATAATTCAGAATTTCAGCAGTTTTGCAGTTTTCTGGAAGTTTGTTCCAGATTGAATGCTGCTTCTCCATGTTTGGTTCTGGTTCCGGGGATGCAGAGCAGACCAGTAGCATAAAGAATCAAGGCATATTTTTGACGAGGGAATAACATTGTAACATGACGTAATTCTCAGAAAAGCCAATTTCACATAATACTGTCCATTTAAAAAAAAAAAGAAGAAGAAGAATAAAACAGTCACTTGGTCACTTCCATCAAGATGAAATGCCAGCACAGCATTTTAACTGTGCTGGCACCACAGAGCAGCACCACTTAGTGCTGCTGTTGCTGATTTCATCTTGATAATAAAAGTGCAAAGATGAGGATATTTTGTTTTCCATCCATCCATTTTCTGAACACCCTTGTCCCTCAGTGGGGTCGGGAGGGGTGCTGGTGCCTATCTCCAGCTAACGTTCCGGGCGAGAGGCGGGGGACATCCTGGACAGGTCGCCAGTCTGTCGCAGGGCAACACAGACACACAACCATGTGCACACACACACACACCTAGGGGCAATTTAGACAGACCAATTAACCTAACAGTCATGTTTTTTGGACTGTGGGAGGAAACCGGAGTACCCGGAGAAAACCCACGCATGCACAGGGAGAACATGCAAACTCCATGCAGAAAGACCGGGGCCGGGAATCGAACCCAGAACCTTCTTGCTGCACGGCAACAGCTCTACCAACTGCGCCACTGTGCAGCCCATTTTGTTTTCCAAAGAACTGATTTTCAGATGATTTCATAGTGCTTGTTTTTGGCACATAGAGCATGTGATCTATTATTATTATTATTATTATTATTAATAATAATAATTAATAATAATTAGGGAAAGAGCTGAATACAAATACAAATTTGTATTCTTGACCTGTAAATTGTAGGGTGGTTTAATAAGTTTGAACTTATTAAAAATGCGCTGTAGTAAATTTCCTTCTCTTCTTATCTCAGAACTAACAAACTGCTGTTTATTCCATTTTAATTCATCCAGCTTTTCCCCTCCTTTACCCATATGTCCAGACATATGGGTAAAGGAGGGGAAAAGATCTGAGAAATCTGTGATTTCACAAAAAATATGGCTTTCATCTTCCTGCTCCTTCTTTTTTATCGTCTTTGACTGCTGTAGACTGATGTTCTCTCCCACCATCTGCAAAGGAACCTTACTTACCTGGACAAGCAGGTGAGAACTCTGGTTCTGGTACAGGCAGCGTATCTGTGATCTCTGAATTGGAAATTAAACATTTGTTTTTGAAACGTCTCTACCACTTATTAGTGTTCACAGCTACACTGAGTACAGTAGGTTATAGGTGAACCAGAAGTTGCTCTTATCTCATTTCTGGCAACATTTCACCTCTTTGCTAAGTTGGAGCAAAATCAGGTATTTTTGAGTGACATAATTAAAACACACCGATAGTAAATTCTCTTCATCATAACCCCTGACAGTGACTATAAGGCAACAGGTTGGCATTTTGCCCACAAAAGTGCTTGTAATAGAAGTGTATATATAGTGTATATAGTGAATATAGTGTATTTGAGCAATTTTGATGGCACCCAAACTGTGATGTTTAGAAAACTGGGTCAGAGCGCCGTTTAATAGCAAGTTATGTAGGATGTTGGTGATCAGCAGTACTCATCTACTAAAAGCTGTCCAGGGAGCAACAATGGCAATCCAGAAACAGGGGTCATGGGTCAGATTGCTCAAGACGTTATTACTGATTATGAAATAAGAGTGTTGGGTTCTAAACTATCTGTAAACTAACAAAGTAATCTACATAGAGAAATCAAAGCAAACAAGTCTATCTATTATATCCATTAAATAGATGTTGGCCACAATTGCTGTTAGCAGAAGGTGACATTGAAATGGCATTTTGGACCATTCTTCCACACAAAGTGAGGATGGTCATCAGCTCCCTCCACAGATTTTCTTTCAGTTACATGTCAGGTGATGTAACTGGACCATTCTAGCATTTTCTTATTTCTCTTAAACTAAGAGTTTCTTGGGCTGTGTGTTTGGAATCATTTTCATTTTATTATTGAAAAATCCAACTTCATTTCATCTGCAGATTCTTTGCAAAAATGCTCAGTTACATTTCTTCATTCATTCTTCTTTGAGTTATATGATGCATTCTCTATGCTGAAAGACAGACACATCATGATATTCTTACCTGCAAACTTTATTGTTTGCAGATGTGCTGTTTTCTATCCTTCCATGAAAACAGTCCAAATTTGCTCTTGTCTGACTGGAGGCATTATTCCAGTATTTCACTGGCTTGTCCAAGTTTTCTATAGCAACCTTGAAATAAGCTTCTATATTTTTTTCTCTTCAGCAGTGTTGAAATATGCTTATACAATCTATGGTAGTTAGATGCATGACTCATAGTTTTTACTGAAAGACTGTACCTGCAAATTCTAAATCTTCCTGAAACTTTGTAAGAGATCCTTGGCTCTTGGAAAACTCATTCAAGTATTATTTTGTCTCCTCTCTCAGAACTCTAGCAGAAAACACTTATTTGTGGCTGGTTTATAGTATTTTGACCCAAAAGGGGCTAACCAGAAAATCTAAGAAGTTTCAAGTTACATATATATTTTGCTACAACAAATATCTTGAGAGAAGTTTTTACTTTTACTCATCATGACAGGCTTCTTCTGTAAATCCCTTGTAATGATAAAACTTTTTTATAACCAGCTGTTGTTAAATTGCATTGATGCGGGCAGGTCTGTTTTCTGCTGAAATGTTTCCCCAGGTTTCTATGGCTTTCTGTAACTTTTAGCAGTTCATTTTCTTCATCTGTTCAGGACTGTGTCATTTCACTTTAATATGTATTTTAATTTATAGACTGACTTGCTTTGATGTCTATGTGGGTTATAGCACAGGTAGGTCTGGTTGTTAAGCACTTATTTTCTACACTGCCCTGTTTATAGGTTTATAGGTTTCAGACTGCAGTTTAAAATAAAACCATCGTTTTTGAGCAGTTCTTTTTCTTCTTTTGTTATCACCTAAACAGCATCTGATATCTTAGTCTCTCTTACCAGCTGTGTTATTACACCACTGTATCCTCTTCTTCCCGGCACTGATGCTAGACGAAGGAGAATGAGCCTCTTATCTTCATGATTCACACTATGATTGAGAACTCTGCACCAAGGCCGCAACTCTACCAGCAAGTAAGGTTTTTGGAAGGTGCTGACTTGAATCGGCACAGAGCCCGTCCAGCCATCTGCTGAGAGTTTTGGCTGGGTCACAACCTTGTCATGGAGTTTTAGCTTCACAACTATGGGGGAAATGTTTGCTATAATCCAAGAGCATACATTTTTAGTCTGAAAACAGAATTTCATGTCTTTTGTTCTCAAAAATGTTAATACTTTTGCTTGCATTTTCATTTTGAAAGCATAACTTCATGTATTTCTTCTCAAAACGTGTAATGATTGTACTCAAAACTTCTCCTCACACTCAAACTTAGTCTCTGCTCAGACTCTCTGCTCACTTACGAAACATAGATCTGCCTTTGGACACAGTTGCCTGGCAAACTCTCAGTCAATAGAATGATAGTGTTGCATTTGTTTCTAGAGGGTGTGCCTGTGTGTCTACTATCAGCTGTAGCAACCTGCAGGGGGAAACAGCGACATCAGCTTTCTGCTCCGTAGTTCACTAAACATCTGCCAGCAGTGATCTACTGATCACTAACAGCCTTCTGATCTTAGGCAGGATTTTGTTCACCCAACGAAAGACAATATCGTCACAACAGTCTGTCTGTCTGTCTGTCTGTCGCAGTTCCATGTTTCGTAAGTGAGCAGAGTCTAAGTGTGACCACGAGGAGAAGTTTTGAGTACAAGCATTACAAGTTTTGAGAACAAAAGATATGAAATCCTGTTTACAGACTGAAAATGTGTGCTCTTGGATTATGGCAGAAACATTTCCCCATACACAACTGCTAACTCACCTAGGTTTCAGGGTTAAACATTAGAGTGCTGAATGAGGTTGCTTTAAATGGAAAGTTCCCAAAAAGCAACCAGGAAATTGAGGCGTCATTTCTCAAAAGAAACAATCAATCCTCCGAAGACTTTACTTTTTATCTGAGGAATAAACTTGAGTTTGCCCTGCAGCTTTACTTTGTTTCCAGCAAAGCTCCAATGTTTCAACATGACTTGAAGTACAGCAGACTCCAGCCAAAACTTTGCTGTGGTTGACCAGTTGTTGTGTATCCACATCTCCACCATCAAGACCCAGTTTCACCACATTGAACCATTCAATACCAGTCACTGGATCCTTCCCAGATATAACAGCTGATGTCTGTAAAATGTCTGTGATTCAGCACCTGCCATTTGAGATGCTTTCCTTTACTGGAAATGACCCAAACTGAAGCATGGGACATGTTGTTCTGTCCACCTGTCTTCATCCGCCATAGTTTGTTGTCTACGACACATATCTACATGTCAAGATGAGTTTTTCTAAAGATGTATTTTTCAGATATTCTTTGGCTGTGTTGAAAATGAATTTCTTCATGTAAAATAATGACTTCTACCCTTTATGAAAGGCTGATTGAGGTCTGTACAGAGGGGCAGGTTTGCTCAGGTTAGCAGAGCTTTCTTGAGTCCAATCAGAAGTCCTTCTCACTTCACTATGTAAGAAAGCAACAGTCATCATCACTGAGATTTGATCTGTTTCATGCAGTAGTTAAGAGGTTAGCCCTGCAGGATGGACCCCTATCAGGATCCTCCTACGGAGCCTGGTCATGTTGATGTGACCATGACATCACCACTGCCTGTGAAGATGTTCAGTTGTTTTGCATGTTTGGTTAAAAAAAAAAAAATCTTCTCCTTCCAGTGATATACCCTGACTATGAATACTTTCATCCTGTCCTCCATGACAAAAAATAAGGATCTCATCTGACTCAAATCCTTATTTTGTTTTGGTCATCTGATATTTAGCCTCAATGAATAAACATTTGCTTCTTCATCAGTTCCCTCACAAACATCACCTCCTGTTTCAGCTCATATGTTTATAATTTAGTTTTTTTCCCTCATAAAGGTGCTATGGACCTTTATCTACCTCTATGCTCCCCTTCTACAACATTTTTGTTTTGTTTCTTTTCTCTGTATTCCATATGAAATAACCATTTTGAAAGGAATTTCTGAGATGTTTGCATTGTTTTACTGGCATTTCCTCCTTACACTGTGTAAGCTCTCTCTGAGCTGCAAAATTGTTTTCAACAACATTTTTATAAAAGTCACTGAGTCTATGCCACTACGTACAGAATGGGACTCCATGACTCCCATTTTCATGTGATCTGCCTCTCAACCCCCAATGATTAACATTGTATAAAATGTTAATCATTGGTAAGTTTACATCTTACCAGCTTGATGATTTGTGAATAAGTGTGCAGATCTCTTTCCTTACCGGCAAAGAAGGGCATCTAAGGAATATCAGGAGAAACTGGTTTTCATTAGATCTTAGCTAATGGGTTGTTGACGCCCCCCACTGGTCCAGTCTGAATATTCCTCCTCTTTCAGATCACTCCAGAAGATTTTAAAGACAGCTCTTTAAACCAGTCCATTGACAAGGCTGATGTAGAGGTAAGAAAGCTTTGCTGTCAATAAAATGCTGAGCAGCTCATGAACTGCACAGCTGATCTCAGTGTTTGCTCACATCAGACCAAGCTGAGCAGACTGTGTGAGAAGGACAAGGTGCTGAAGATGCAGGAAGAGAAGCTCCAACAACTGCACAGGGAAAAGGTACAACCTTGAGCAGAGCAAGCTCACCTTTCCACATGGAGAGCAGTCTCAGGTACGCAGTAAGGAGTTTCTGTTGTTTTGTGGCAGCACACTCTGGAGACGGTGCTGCTGTCAGCCAGTCAGGAACTGGGTGAGCAGAGTGGCTCCAACACGGCGGCCATGCAGAGCCTGGTCCAACAAAGAGATGTCCTGCAGAGCGGCTTGCTCAGCACCTGTAGGGAGTTGTCCAGAGTCACCGCTGTAAGTTCAGACTCAGATTACTTTAAGATAATGTTGATGGCAGCATTATCTCAGCTGATACCCTCCTCCGGGAAGGAATCGGCCAATCAAAACAACACATCTGATGTAGCTTCCATGAAGAGGAAAATAATTCAGAGAAAACTAACAGTTGAAATAACATTGAATAGAAGGAGTGGAAGAAGAAAGTGAGAAAAACAGGTTAGTTTGCCCTCCAGCAGCCAAAGAATTAACCACAAAGCAAAGTAAAATGCTACTTTACAAAACAATAATTTGCCAAAAAAGGAATAGCCTGAAGCCAAGGCTTCTTCTTGCCTATCATAGTCATAGACTCAGTATTCGATGAAAATGGAAGATATCTGCTGTCCATATACATACATATGAATTAAAATATGCATGTATGCACATATATAGACATTTGTAGGCTATATATTGTTCACATTTTCCCAATAGTGGGAAAATTTGACACCATTGACCGTGTGGTCAATGGTGTCAAATAGATCAATGAACTGGCGCTTATTTATTATCTATCTAGATATAAAATCAGATGTATATAACATTAGCTATAACTTGTTTTTGAATACCTAAGATAAAGGAATATCTTAGGTTCTAATTGCATAAAGGCAGAGTCACCAATGTGAAAATCTGTGAACACACACATTCACACCCCTACCTATCACTAAATGCTGTGCATGCAGACTCGCATGCACAGCATATGGACACTCACATGTGCACACACTTTGAATCACTGTTGTTTCTCTGATCATTTCTCTTACTCTCGATGCTTTTTTCCTCTGCTCCCTCCCTGCCCCTGCTTGCTTCTGTTTTTGTCCTGTCTTTTTCTCTTTTTCTATATTTTTGGAGCCTTTCTTTGCACATCCTCCGAATCTACAAATTATGGATCTGGTCAACTGGTCTCTCAATGCAATTGATAAAATTTTCGACGAAAAGTCTGGGCACAGGAGAGCTCTCTTGTCCTGCAGGGACACACCCAGCGGGATTCACCCTGGATTTATTCATGATAACAGGATTTCTGCTTGTGGATTCCTGGCTTATCGATAAATTTGTGACGGACTTGGCCGAACTAGCGAACACTCAGACTGTTGGTGAGGACAGAGATGCAAGTTGGATGCAAAGTCTTGCTGAGACTCGCAGCCCAGCTGAGGACTCAAACTCACTAAGTCGATCTTGGAGAAGTTGCTGGTTTCAGTTCAGTGGAACAACCAAACTAATTTGGATGATTGGGAACTGAGATGTATCGGAGAGACTTTAGGGAAGATTGAAATGTATAATCAAAGACATTCTGCTTCTGAATTGGCTTTCCCCATGTTGCCTTGGAAGGGCTGCATATCTCTAATCTCCTTGAAGATATGTAAACACAAAGCTCCTTCCCACCTCACCACCTCCTCTTAGCCATGCAGCTGTGGAGCTGAGCGCTCCTAAGGACATTCCTAGATAACAACACTTTTATCGGACTTCTGCCTGGAGGCAGAGCAACGTGGTTTCATGGCCCTTTGACGTCACCGCCTTCACTCTTGTCTCTGTTTTGCCCTTTGTTTTGTCTGAATGTTGCCATTTNCCCTAATGNGTCCTTTCCTCTTTTTTGTTTTAGGTGGAGTACTCCCTATTTAACCCAGAAAAGGATTATTTTAGTTTATTAGTAATAGAAATTGTGGAGTACGCACTATTTAGATCAATATTATACAGCCCAGAAATGGAATTGGAATTAGAATTAGAATAACTACAAACTTGGAATCCAGAAATACTTAACAGGAACAGTCACTACTTAATTACTTTTATATTACTACTTTTTAGAAACTGTAATTACTCACTTTACACCAGAAAAGGATTAAGATTAGTCATTTTGCTTTTTTTCTTCTTTTTCTTTCCTATGGTTTATTTTGTTTGAATTTCCTTTGAATTAATGTAAAGCACTTTGAATTGGCTTGTTGCTGAAAATGTGCTATATAAATAAAATTACCTTCCCATCCCAGGAGTTGGAGCGATCGTGGACAGAGTATGAGCAGCTGGAGGCAGATGTTACTCTGGCCAGGACCAACCTGCTGGAGCAGCTGGAGGCCCTGGGCAGCCCACAGGTAGCAGACAGACCCAGACCCACTCACAAACACACACTCTTTATGTGTGTGTGTTTGAGCCTTAATGAGGCTATATCTTACTATGTGTTTCTTTTGTGTGTGTGTGTCTTAGACAGAACCTCCAAGTCAGCGGCACATCCAGATCCAGAAGGAGCTTTGGAGGATCCAGGACGTGATGGAGGCTCTGACTAAAACTAAACCCCAGCAGAGAACAGAGTGTGGTGAGTTTATGACACAGATCACTTCCAAAACTTTTCTGCAACCTTGGCATCTAAATCTTTTTCTACTGTAATACAGTCATATTCAATAAGTCAGATTAAAAGATGTCGGATTAAAAATACCTTATGACAATAACAACCATTAAATAGGAATGAAACATGATTTGACAAGCCCACGTTTCTGTTTTTAAAAATAGCTTTTTGCTGGTATGGTGTAAAATTCATAATTTAAATGTCAAGTTTTCAAAAATTATAATGGAAATAAAAGCTTTCAAACATTCATCTGTGTGGAATTAATCTATATAATTAGATTCACTTAGTGATAAAGTTTCTAAAATAAATGGGCTTTTCAATAATCTTCTAATTTATTACAGTAAATGGGATTGAAGTTGATTTTGCTCTAAAATGTTTGTTCCTCAGCAATTGCTTCTTGTGCTCAGGCAGCCATTTTCCTGGCTGCGTTTAGTTGGTTTTGGAGATGTTAGTCTGATTTAGTGGTTCCTCCAGATATTTCTACTCTTTTTGTTATATTTTGCAGGTTTTCCTGGTTCAACGCCTCTTTCTAGTCAGCAGAAAAATGAGGTAAAGCCCATACATGACATCTATCACATAACCTTTGGTTTTAATAAAATACTCTCCAAGGTTGGTTAGACCAAATATTATTTGCTCATTTAGGCCACAGCAGCATTGGCACCAATTATTTATCTGAGTTTTTGCTGCTTTCATCCCCAAAATCTCTTTGCTTGGTGTTGATGTAACATCTGCAATATACAGTATACTACAGTATATTGCAGTATTCCTGGGCGTCAAGGCAAACTCCCCTGCATGTTTTAGGTGTTTCCTTGCTTCAGCCCAGGTGGTTTCAGTTGCCAGGTGTTAGCTGAACTGCAATCATCTGAATCAGGTGTATTAAAGCAGGGAAACCTCTAAAGCATGCAGGGCAGTGTGCCTTGAGGGACCAGGGTTGGGAAACACTGCCCTTTTGAACATTTTTTCATCATTAAAAGATAAGATTTAATTATTTCTGATATATTAGTAAAATTAATTTTAAGTCAGTTCAAAGTACCTTAGTGAATTAAAATATAATCAGAAATACTTATTCCAGTGATTCAGTTTAGAAAGTTAAACTTCTATTTGATGGATTCAACCGCACACAGGCCTATAGCTTAAGTACTGAACAATATGTCCATGTACTGTGCAGTATCTGCACAGTACATGCAGATACTGCACAGATACTGCACAGATACTGCACAGGTCCTCCATACCACACCTCAATGAGGTGTGGTATGGAGGACATCAGTCTGTGTTTCTGCTGAGGTGTTCAGGATGTCCAGGAGGCAGGAGTTCATCCTGTAACCAGTGGATTGCCAGTTCAAAGCGCCAGTCCACATATTTCTATTGTTGTGTCCTTGGAGATGACCCTTCATCCACCAGTGCATGGCAGCCTTGCAGCTGTTGCTACAGTGTCACTCACACTGTCAGTATATGAATGGGTGACTGACTTCATGTGTAAAGTGCTTTGGAGTCCTCTGACTTGATAAAGCGCTATAACAAGTACACGTCATTTTCCATAATAGCAGACTTTGGGTCAACTGGTGTCTCTCAGATTCTCTGTGGGGTTTATGTCAGGCCAGTTTGCTAGTTTTACCATGGTTATTAAAGTAGGTATTAGTATGTTTGACCAAATCATGTTGGAAAATGAATTTATCATTGTGGTTTGGATTCTGTGACCCTGAAAGCTTGATCCAGTTGCTTGACAACTGTAAAGTCAGCATTCTTTCCCATGATTATGTGGGTGTAACATAACTGCAATATAACATTTCTGAATTAAAATATTTTATTATTTCTCTGATTATTAGGAATTGTGAAAATGTTTTGATCATTAGTAATCAAAAATTTGCTTCTGAACAAATTTTTGAGTTTTCCTTAACTGTGAGGCAAAAATCATGAGAAACTGATCGATATCACTGTGTGGAAGGAATACAAGTAATATTTGAGTTTCACTTCTTGAGTTGAATTGATGAAACACATGACCTTCTTCATTGTACTTCATTTTTTTAAATGCAGCTTGTACTTCACAACAAAAGGGAAGCAGTCCAACAGTTTAAAGTTCAAATTCTAGCACAGAATCTAGTGTAGAGTTGTGTAGAGGTGTGTCTCCTGTAGCCAACGTGTCCCTGCTGCATGTTTCTGTAGCCTAGAGACAGCAGTTTGGACATGTAACATGCATCTTTGTTCCAGCTTGTGCATAATGTGTGCGGTGCGAGCACGCCACTGTCTTCACCAGTAAGCTCGGCTTCAGTGTGACGGTGTGAGTGTGGTCCTGTCCTGGTTCTGAGCTGTGCTGTTTAACTGTCAACAGGCAGTGACGCTGCTGCCACCCAGCCCACTTAAAGAGGGCACCAGGGTGCCCGCTCGCCCGCCCCTCCCTCAGTGCTATGACTCAGAGTGCATCCCTCACACATACCCCCACCACTCACAACCTGGCAGCCGACCCCTCCACGCTCACCGCCCTGAGGAGCGCAAGGCCAGCTCCAGGAATGGAGCACACAGCGTAAGACCTGTTTAAAGTCTCCATGCTCCACTCCAACCTCCACCATCCCTTCATCCTCCGTCATCAATGAACACACAGAGCCACTTCATCTGACCTCAATCATTTTCAGCCTCGCCATCAAATATTTACAGAATGAGAAGCTCCTTACCCACCTCCATCAGCCCTGCATTTCTACACCAGGCCGCATCATGATATTCACCCCATCATGGTTCATCCTGCGTTTCATCATTGTAATCAGATTTTGCCTGCTGTGTCTGTCCTTCACCTTACCTTTGGGCTTTAAAACATCGTGTTGTCCTCCAGTTAACCTTCTGCAGTTTTGCAGCTTATTTAAATTCAGTATGTAAATTTAATTAGCGCGGGTTTTTGCTCTGTGACCTTTGTACTGGAGAGTGTGTATATCTTTTTGCAAAAATATTCATACCCCTAAACTTTTCCATATTTCATCAAACACAACTCGGAGCTTCGTTGTGAAGTGAAAGTGATTCTTAAAAGTTTCAGTTTCTTTGAATTAAATTTCATTCAATAAAGTTTGAGGTGTGGTGTGGAGAGAGACATGGAAAATCACTGCTATCAGGATTGACCTACATGAGATAGACAATGAAAACATGTCAGATGATGTGGACAAGCTGCCTCTGATCTCCTTCTATAACATAGTTCACTACCAGGCACGTGCAGAGCGGGGGGCTGGGGGGGCTTGAGCACCTGCCCTTTTTGCTCCTTGCCCCCAAGTGCCCTTTTGGTCAAATTATTATTTATTTATTTATTTATTTGTTTGTTTGCTATTATTATTTCCTAAGCCCTCTTCTGACACATAATAACATGTACTAAAATTAATTGTTTTTTTTGTTGGGGGTTTTTTGTACAACATAATAAGCCGGTCACCTTGTTACCTTTGACCTTTTGCCCGTGACGCATGACGCAGTTGCCTCTCGCGCAGTGAGATAAGGCGGCTAACTGGAGCTCAATGTAGCGAACGTTCCAGATTACAGAACAGTTTTTGGTGAAGTAAAAAAAAAAACGTTTTTGGTGAATAAAGTGGAGCAGACCTGCTACTTGTCAGATAACGGAAAACGTTGTAGTATCATTTCTGCTTCAGCGGTTTAAGCAGAGAGGTAAT